GCAAACGGGAGCCTGCTCTCGCTGGCTCCGCAGCAAACAGCTGTTTACTGCGGAGCCTGCTCGTAAACAGCTGTTTGCTTTTCACCCAACAACGACAACCGCCTCACGAAACGCTATGTTGTAGCGTTAATAAACGAAACAATTTAACAACATTGCTTGTCAAAATACCTATACCACAGGACAATTTTATTTTTTTTAAGCAATATTTTTAGTGGCCCGAGCGGGCAATTGGAAAGTACGTTATGCTGCCCCGGGGTGTCTAAATAGTGCTTCCGAGCCAGCGGGCCATTTATAATGTCGAGCCCTGCTCTCTGTCACTGTGCATGTGTGTAATGTTTGTGTGCAAGTTAGACGGGGCCTGCTTGTGTGCCTGCGTGTGTTACTGTGTCTATGAGGGAGAAAGGAAAGCTCATTTTGGCCGCGGCGGGAAATTGATTTGACAACATAATACTCGATGTTCAGGATGTGGTCATTTACGACATCGCATGTAGTGCAATCCACGATGTATCGTGTAAACTCGATATATCGCCCAGCCCTACTCGCATGTTACAGATTGTACAATAAAGTTGGAAAAGTAGGTCAAAGCACAGATGCATTCATGGATGGCATTTTGAATGGATGCTCGAACACATGAAAATCTTAACGCTGTGCACCCCCTGCATTTAGACATTCACTCTGTTCTGCTGATTTTGCATAGTAGTTGTTAATGAGGTGTGAGTAAATATACTACTAGTTGTGTTTTGTTGTGACATAAATGGACATAAAACATAAAAAAATACATTTTTAAATCAAGAAGACAAAGAGTATGGTTGTCCAATAAAATTGTTGTCAGAGTCAGGTTTGGGGACAGAGGCTCCTTAGAAAAATGTAGATTGTGCTCCATCTCTTCTAATTATTATTACTATAAGTTAGAGCTATTCCCTTGTAAAAGACAATATGTATTGCAGATCCTTGACATCCATGCAACTGATTTCAGAAATCAGTTTAAAAGCACAATTACTTTAGATTTTAGGGCCTGGTTAGACTCCAAGCATGGTCGGCTCTGCTTTACATAGACCACGTTCACACGGATACGAAACGGGTTGTATCCGCTACAGTTCTCTATCGTATGGACGGTTCGTCCACACGAGGCCATAACGGAACCGCAGAAACGGAGCCCTAAAACGATAACGGCTCCCAAGGTGGGTAGATCTGCGGACGAAACGCTCTGGGGGGCTAAACGGCTGCTTGTGTACCCACTATACGATCATTTCCTGATAACGATGACGCCATAGTTCCGCCTCTCCTCACCTCTGCTGCTCACCTCCGTGTCACCCGCGTCATTGCTGATGTGTTTCGCCAACAACAACAATGGCGGATCACAGGGTTGCTTTCGTGCTCCAGACACTACTGACCAAGCTACAGATGTTAGTGCAAAATCTACAGCTCCTCTACCACAACCATCAGCAACAAGTGGACATGGAGAACATGAACATTTTTGCTAAATCCACCGCGGACAATAACCAGAAGGGCAACCAGGCAACCATGCTCGGGAGGTCTTATTCGCTGCTTTTGGTGTATTTTGTGGCGGAAGTACAGCGCCACTTACAGGCCCGGCATATGTACTACAGTGTTTCCAGCGGGTCGAGCGGTCTCGTGTGGACGAACACGTTTCTTGAGCCGATTCCGTGTGGACGGAATACTTTTTTGATATCGACTAAGGTTCGTTTTCGACTGTGTAAACGTGGCCTGAGAGGTACCCACTTGATTAGGCAAATGTTGACTGTTGAAGTTTCATATTAACTAGAGCTGAAAGTAGAATGTGTTTTACATGGAGTGAAGACTTTGCATTATACATTTACAAGTTTGATGTGTATTATTCTTATTGAGGTAAAACCAAGCGGAAAACTCTGGGGCAGAGCCGGGAAGCCCATAAGGAAGTGCCACAAACTGCAGTTCATCTATTGGCCGATAGGGGATGGCTGCAGAAAGGAGCAATTTCCATAGACCCCCATGTTAAAATGCCCAACTTTACAGCAGAAATAAACATGTTTCTAACCCTGGATGCAATACAAAATATTCTGGATATAGTTAGATTCCACCTTCATGACAATGGATTGGGGATTGAATTTTTTTATAACACACCCCTTTTTTAGGGGCTCGGCCTCTTTGCCCTTATTTGGATCAGGCTCGAGCAGGCGGGAGTTAGACTGACGTCACTGTCGAGGCGGCAGCGGCCGACCTCGCCTACTGAGGACTTCTCACGGACACTACGTCCATTTATATGCCTACAGTCTATGGGTAAAACCACAAGGTAGGGAACTCTTTGGAGTCAGTAGATCAAAACAGAGGAAAACAATATCATCACAGATGTTCATACGGGCGGCTGTTGCTTAAGTGCGCTCATCTTCAGAACGGTCGAGCACCATTTCAATTCCACCTTGACACCCACTGCAGTCAGAATGTCGCAGTGTCCTCGGGCAAGACACTTCACATAAAAGTGTCTAATAAGTAACATGTAATGTTCAATATGTATACCAACAAGTCAGTCTGGTCCAACCTCAATTGTTAGTTATTATGATATGCGATTGATCATTATGTCTATAAAATATCAACACCTAGAAAAAAAGGTCCATCCCAGTTCATAAAAGTTGGCTGATATCTCAAATTTTTTTGTTTTCCAGAACCATAAGAGTAAAAAAAAAAACAAGAACATAGTGATTTTCGGCTTTTAACTTTTCAAGCAATACAAAAATTGACAAAAAACATTCTGTTGATAAGTTTATGGATTATTCAAATAAATTGTTGCAGTCGGTGGGACTTGGCAATACATTTTATTCTCAGTTGACTCAGTATGTTTCATAATGTATCCTGTGGCCAATCCAATCCCTTTTTCTCTTTCAAAATAACAGTAGAGAGTGGAGCCAAAGTATTTTCTCCTTTCCTCCTCATGTTCTCAGTTCCTCCTCACATCTGCAGGTAGAGCTCTTTACAGACTTCACTCTCAACACTTCCTGCTGGATGTCTGCTGATCTCCGTCTCGTTGTCCTCACATGTCTTTCTTCTGTTTTGTGGGTTACAAAGATCTAGCAGGGTCTTCGTCTTCTGATGTCTCTTCAGCTCTTCTTTCTGTACCTCCTCACTTCCCCTCTTCCCTTCCTTCTTGCTCTGCTGGCCAATTGACAGAGATGTGGTAAGACTTCAGCTCCTCCTCAGAAACAAAGTCAGGGGCGAAGCTCATCAGGTCGTGACCCCGAAATGACTTGGGGAAGGCAATGACGTCACGGATGCTGTGAGCCCCGACCATAATGGAAACCAGTCGGTCCAAACCTAGAAAAGCATGGAGACAAGTTAATAAATGTTTCACAGATTTTACCTTTTAGCTTATGATTTGTGCATTTTTGTGCAGAGGGGTCTGCCTGCAGGCCTCCACTCTCAGGACAGTTCTGGTGTAGGCTCTACTGTCAGGACACCTCCACTCTCAGTACAGGAAGTGACGATTCTGACGAACACGTTTTTTTCCCCGCCCCCCCGAAGGACTCGTCTGATGGAAGTTTTCAAATCACAATGGAGACTCATCACGGAGGTGATGAGTCCGCTCACCATGCACTTTGGGTTGGCCTTGGTCAAGCCCTTTTGGACTGGGTCCGTTCATGGTTGACAGGGGACTCTGCCCGCCTCACGAGTGCCTGTTTTCGGACACTTTTTTTCACTTTTCCCCAGTTCTATTAATTTTGTTTCTTTTGGCTATTTAACCCGGTTCCTTCTACCGGGACACTGCCCGGTCCCGGGTGTCCCCCAACGGCCTGGGTCCAGCCGGGCCTGCCAATATGAAGCGTGACCAAGACGCACCGTCTGACTCAGAGGTCCCACCACGGGTCCCGCAGTGGGGTGGAGGTTCCGGGTTGGAACCTCCCCACCTCTGCCGGGGTGCACCCGACAAACACGGTTGTTTCTCGAACCCTCCAGTCTAGCGGGTGTAACTAAAATACAAGATGTCGTTATTTATATATATAAATATATCGATATATAAATATCGATATAATAAGTCTCAGTGCAATTTTATTTTGTATAAGCGTGCATTTGTTTGTCTGTTCGGAAAGTGTAAACAAGTAACCAATACAAGGTGTCCCTATTTATTTATATATATGTGTCAGTCATATACAGTCTATAGTGTCAGTACGATTTTATGTTGTATTTGCATGCATTTCCTGTTTGGAAAGTGGCGCTGTACTGATAGTGGCGATTTTATTTTGTAATTCTTAGCGTGCACTTCCTGTCCTGAGAGTGGAGGTGTCCTGCAGACAGGCTCCCACGGGACGTTGAGAAAAAAGTCAGAATATTTTGAAAAAGTCAGAATTTTCTAGAAAGTCAGAGTTTTGAGAAAATGTTTTCGACTACTTCCATTCTTGAGAGGATAATAAATACATGGATCCTGAGATTGAAGCTCAAGCAGGCGACCAGTGAAATGTTTCTCACATCAATCTTTCAGTTTGTGTGTACAGAGAAATCGAAATACCGTTTCCCACAATCTCGAATACAAACATATCGATAGGAGTCTGTGACCTCAGACTTTCACTGATATATCTACACTGTAGCTAGGTACCTGACAATAAAAGCCTTGAATCTTGACTTATAAATGTTAATAATTGAGTTTTTGGGAGAAGGGGTGGGATTAAATAAATGTAAACTTCGTCCCACCCCTTTTCAGATGTGTAATTAGGTAGATCATTCGTTTATATATCATTTAGAATAAGTTTGTACGGTATAATAATTCTTATGTTTCATTTCATTATTATAATTGTTTTTAATGATAGTTTTGCAAATTCGAAATAAATCAAATCAAAATATTCAAATTACTTGTATTTAGACTCTCTTTGCACTATTTCTATTGACCTGCACTATTTCAACTATTGTATCTGTGTTGTTGTGTTGCTCTGTTGGAGGAGATGGATCTGTAGCTATCATGAATGCAATGTTTCTGTTTATCAATTTCACACTGCTTAAGTTTGTATAGTATTTTTTTGTATTATTGTTTAACACATTCGAAACAAATCAACATGTTGAATATGGAAAATACGTATATATATATATACCTTCTTCTGCTTGTTGGTCATGTCGGTGTGCGCGCCCGCCTCCACCAGGCTGATGATGATGGCGTGCAGCGTGAGGAAGTCGCTGATTGGCCGGTTGTACTGAACGATGACGTGCAGCGGCGTGTTTCCCTCGTGGTCCACGGCGTTCACCGGCGCGCCGCAATCCAGCAGCAGCTTCGTGACCTGAGCGCTCGGGAAACTGCACACGTCGTTGGTGTGGAAGTCGTCCACCGGCGTGCTGGAGCTGATGGCGAGATGAAGCAAAGACGCGCCCTCACGGGAGCGAGGGTCCATCTGGATCAGGTCGTAGATGTGCTTGTTGATGCGCGCGCGGTCCTGCTCGCCACAGTTCGTCTTCGTGGTAATGCAGACGAGGTACAGGAAGGTGAACACGTTGGACTCGTAGTTGTCCAGCGCCGACGGTAGTTCTGCCTCGGTGGCGGTCTCAACCCTCGCCATGCTGCGCTGGATCTCCAGAACGCTGCAGCTCAACACCTGCTCCACGCTCGGAGCAACAACGCGCTCTTTCAGATGAACCATCTGCGAGAACACCTGGGCGAAGCGAAGCAGATCTTTGTGCGTGTTGCGGTTGCCTTTCTGCCGTAACCTCAGCGCGTGAAGCCACAGTTTGATGCACTGCTCGAACTCCATGTTGTCGGCGTAGACGGCGCCGCGGTAGATGATGGGATGAGACACGTCGATGTTATCGGAGCCCAGAACGCGCTCTCGTATCATCAAACCCTCCATGTGGAGCGCGTCTCGATCCACTCGGATGGCTTCGAGGTCCGGCATCGTGCGACACTCGGTTCGCCCGCCGTACGCCTCGATGGCAGGAAGAAGCTCCTTCACGATAACGTTGTTTGGATCGCGATGCCTCTCCATCATCGCCATGTGCAGGTAATGATACGTCCTCTGGATGTCGTAGTTCTCGCGGTCGTTGGCAAAGGAAGCGCCGAGTAGCTCCAACGCTTCGATGCGACTCTTTGCGTCGCAATCGGCGTGTTCCAGCAACAACTCCACCACCTCCGCTTTGCAACTCTCCGCGGCTACTTTCAGAGGAGTCATGCCGTGCCCGTTCACCACCATGTGGGCCTGGCACCGAACCAACTCCTTCACGATCTCGAGGTGCCCCGCTTCGGCCGCGAAATGCAAAGCGGTCGCCCCACAATGCGCCTTAGCGTTGGGATCGGCGCCGCGTTCCAGCAGAAACTGGACGACATCGGCGTGCCCTTTGTACGCGGCGATCATCAGGCAGGTGTTGTTGTACTTGTTGGTGATTCGGATGTCGGCGTTGTGCTCCACCAGGAAGCGCACGATGTCCAGGCGTCCGTCGAAGCAGGCGGCGCGTAGAGGCGTGGAGTTGGTGATGGTGGTGTGGTTCACGTTGGCGCGGTGGCTCAGGAGGAGGCGGACCACATCGAAGTGCCCGGCGCCCGCTGCGCACCACAAGGCCGTCGCCCCGTCGATCACGTAGCTGTGAGAGAGAGAAGAAGAGCGGTGTTAGCAGGAACTCTGAAAACTGATTCATCTTCACAAAGAAAACAGAAAAAAGCAACCGTCTGACGTGTTTCTGATTTTAACATAAAACATCTAAAGGAAGATTATTTCTGTCTCGCTACACCTCAAGTGCTTTTGTGATTGGTCTTGGTGGTTTGTCAGTTTCTCAGTATCATTTTGCTCTCTTCATATTCTTCAGCTGCGAGAGACGAGAATCTGTTAGCTGGTATGCAGAAAACTGATTACTATTCACAAGGAAAACCAACAAAAGCAACGATCTGTAGGCAATAAGCAATTAATTGACTTATCGTACGATAAATAAAAATGAACTCGATAAATTGCCGTTTACATGCATGTCTGTTTACATAAGGAAGTGACCAGCGCTTTGACGGGCGGGGCTCACACACAGCCAGGTCGGGACACTCCAGCCAAATTAACAATATAGAGACAAGAGACAACGTGAGACTTACTCGAGGGGAATTTGAAGTTAAATGGAAGTGGTTGCAAAATCTAACTCCATCTCCAGTGTGGGAATATTTTGGATTGAAGCCAAATCAACGAGGCGAACCTACGGACTTGAATGCGCCGGGCGGTATGTTGCATTTGTTTAGGTAGCAACAAAAGCTAGCAATACGAGCAACCTTAAACTGCACCTGAAACACAACCACCCCATTTTTTCATTCAGAGCAAACACGGCAGCTGGAGAGCCCCCACCTTCCCGACAGTTTACAATCAAAGATGCATTTGCCCGACAAATGCAAACGTGTTGGTGTTCCTTGCCCGAAATCTTTGAAATACAGATTTGGATATGGCCTGTTGAGGTTTGCTCTCTCTGCTTTCCAGCCTGAGTATATTTAATTTATTGTTTTGGTTCTGTTCCAACAACCTGTTTTTATGATTTGCAGGAACTGAGAAAACTGATTAATCTTCACAATGAAAAGCAACAAAAAGTAACCGTCTGATGTGGTTCTTCTTTTACATAAAACATCTAAAGGAAGAATATTTCTGTCTCACCTCAAGTGTTTTATGATTGGTATTTTTTTCAGTATTTTTGTAAACAAAGAAATTGACGTCCAAAATAACTTGTATATTTTGGAAAAGCTCAAATCAGAGAATTATCTCTAAACACAGAGGAAACTTTCTTTAGCCTGTCTCGTGACATCACAGAGAGGGGTGTGTGTGTGTGTGTGTGTGTGTGTGTGTGTGTGTGTGTGTGTGTGTGTGTGTGTGTGAAGCAGGAAAAACCAGCTCCCAGTTTCAGTTCAGGGAGGAGAGACAGGTTTCTGAGGCTGACGCTCCGTAAACAAAACCTAACTCAGGGAAATATAAACGTTCTTTGTTTTTACACGTGACTTCTCTAAATGTTTTTATTTTACGTCTGAACACATTGATGCTTCTTCTGGAACAAAATAATTTCCTAAATTGGGGTCAAATAAATATTTATCTATATAAAACCTATATTTCTTATATATAAAAATCATATTATATATTTTTAATAATGGCTTTTGATGAAGTTTTAAGATTGAATCATTCACACACAATGTTTAAAACATGGCATTTTTTTTTCTCTATTGGATTTTAATTTAAATATCTGTTATTTTAATTTTGTATTTGCATATATGTTCTAATTGTGTTTTTAGTGTCTGCTTTAATTGATGTTAGTGTCTGTTGGATTTTAAATTTCATTTTATTTTTTATCTTAGAAGTTTGCTGTCTTTTTTGGGGAGGGGTGAATCTTGTCTGTTAACATTTTTATTATTTAAATGTTGTCTTTAATCTGCTTTATTTGAACGTTTGTCTCTACATCTCATATGTAGACCCTTTTACACTCTCTCTTCTACATGAAGCCCTCACAAACAGGCACTGGTTAGACATGTTTAACACAAAGTAGTCCCTCTCACCCGTCGAACCGCACGGTGCCGGTCTGCTCCGTGTTGACCCGGTAGTGATCCACCAGCAGCCGGACCACCTTGTCGTGTCCGTTCCGGGCCGCGATGATGAGCGGAGTGGACCTCTGGCCGGCCACCTGGGTCACATGGCTCAGCAGGAACCGCACCTCCTCCTCCGGGTGGTTGTGCAGCAGCGCGGCCAGCGTCAGGACCCGGCCTTCGCTGGCCGCCTTGAACACGTACCCGGCCAAAGGCTCCATGTGGACCCGGTACACAGCAGCCAGGTCCCCGGTACCAGCAGCAGCCTGATCCCCGTCCGCAGCGAGGAGCCTCCCATTAAAGAGTCCAAACCCGGCCCGGTGCACACATGAAAAATCCACCTTCTCCGTAATGCAAGAAAAAAAAAAAATCAGGGTTCGAGGGGCGTTTTTACAACTCAAGTGTCCGATTCTAAGTGATCTTTTTCGGGTTGGTTCTCTCGAAGAGCCGCTGATAGCCGGTTAGCTTAGCGTGCTAAAGTTAGCGAGCTAACAAACTAACAAAATACACCTTCTCTGTAATGCAAAAAATAATAATCACGGTTCGAGAGGCGTTTTTACAACTCAAGGGTCCGATTCTGAGCGATAAATTCCGGGTTGGTTTTCTCCAGGAGCCGCTGATAGCCGGTTAGCTTAGCGTGCTAATGTTAGCGAGCTAACAGACTAACAAACTGCCGCTTTTTGAACTCCACCGTTTGTTCCGAATCAAACTGACGCCGTGTTGTTGGTGGTAAAAGAGAGTCTCGTGGAGAAGTTTCTTGATTAAAACTCAACACGAAGGAAGATTTTAAACAAAAACAAGCTCTTTCACCTTCTGTGAAACTAGTCCTGTACCGGAAGTTAGCGTTCAACTTAAAAATAGCTCCGACGGGAACTGTCTCCGGATGATATAAGTTCCCTTAGACGGACTTCCTCTTCTGTTTAAAAACTACAAAAAACTGCAATGACTACATAAAGTACACAGAGGAATTACAATCCTGAAATAATGTTAGTAAAATAAATACAAATATCTTAATTCAAACAATAGTAACACACAAAAGCGTTTAAAATGGTCACTATGAATCCAGAACATTTGATTAACTTACTAAAATCTGAACCAGACAAAATAACGAAATATTGACACTTTAAGAAGATTTTAAGATGAATTCTCCAATTAATATTAGCAGTATAAACATGACTTAGTTATGTCCTAAAGTAGTGCTTTTTTTTCGTAATAATAACGTTAGACAGACAGCCCTTTAAAACGCCACCGTCTGTTCAGGTTAAACTGGAGCCGTGTTAAAGGAAGTAAAAGAGACTCTGCTGGAGATTAAAACTCAAACGAGTGGAAGATTTGAAACACAAACGAGCTCTTTCATCTTCTGTGAAACTAGTGTTATATGGTTATATATGAAAGTGCCGTTCAACATAAAAATAGCTCCGACGGGATCTCACTCCAGATGATTTAAGTTCCCATACACGGACTTCCTCTGTGTTTTTTTTTTAACAACACAGAACTTTATTGAACAGTGACAATGACTACAGAGGTGCACGATGGAATACAAATCCAGAAATAATAGTTTAGGGCCACATGAGAAAACATATTTTGGATGTCACAAAGGGTAAAGTGAGTTAATTTGTTTGTATTTACAAAATTAACAAAGTAGAAATAAAAGGAAAACTTTAAAAATCGTAATTTTTTAGTAGAGTAGAAGTAGTCAGATCTTGTACTTAAGTAAGTAGAAGTACTCAGATCTTGTACTTGAGTAAAAGTAGAAGTACTCAGATCTTGTACTTGAGTAAAAGTAGAAGTACTCAGATCTTGTACTTGAGTAAAAGTAGAAGTACTCAGATCTTGTACTTGAGTAAAAGTTGTACTCAGATCTTGTTCTTGAGTAAGTAGAAGTATTCAGATCTTGTACTTGAGTAAAAGTAGAAGTATTCAGATCTGGTACTTGAGTAAAAGTAGAAGTACTCAGATCTTGTACTTGAGTAAAAGTAGAAGTACTCAGATCTTGTTCTTGAGTAAAAGTAGAAGTACCAGAGTGTAGGAATACTCTGTTTCAGTAAAAGTACTGCATTCAAAATGTTCCTCAAGTGGAAGTATAAAAGTATTCTCATCCAAATATAGTTGAAGTAGCGACAGTAAAAGTAGTCGTTGTGCAGATTGGTCCATTTCAGAATAATAGATATGATATGTTTTATAATGATTGATCATGAAAGTGTTCTCAAAGCTGGTAAAGGTGCAGCTAGTCTGAATGACTTTGTATACTGCAGGGTAGCTGGTGGATTTACTCCAGGTGGAACTAAAGTCTGATTTAACACTTGATTATATTTCACATCATTCATCCAGATCTGAGAAGTAACTAAAGGGATTAGATACATGTAGTGGAGTAGAAGTACACCATGTACCTCTGAACTGCAGAGAGTAGAAGTACAAAGTAGCATAACATGGAAATACTCAAGTAAAGTACCTCAAAAAATGTACTTATGTTACAGTACTTGAGTAAATGTATTTAGTTACTTAACACCTCAGTTGTTGGATCTTTTAGGATGTTTTGCTTTCGCAGATTTCCTTGAATAAAGGTTTTGAATGCAGGATGGTTTCAGTGATTGAATCATCCAGGTGTTCCTGATCAGTGAAACTCATCATTTCCTGACTGTTGTTTAAACCAGATTAAATCTCTCCAGTAAAACATCGGGGGGGGGGTTATACAGATTACGGCTTTATCTGCACGCAGATTACCTGCAGTTTAACTGAGAGGAGGCTGTTTCTTATCATCAAATCATTCACTTTGTTTCAGTCCAGGGACAACAGCTTCAGAGAGGAAACGTTGGGAAGAAGAGGATTTATTTATCATTTGATCTGGAAGCTAATTAGGATACATGATGGAGGAGAAGTGGAGGTCATCAGGATCATCTCTGCTGACGACCTGATGTTTCTCTCACTGCTTAAATACTGTGATATTGTTTAAATCATATGATATAATATGCAGTCGTTCACCAGGAAGAGGAAGAACCCGGCTCTGCTTGCAGCGACGCTCATGGGCAGGTTTGTCAAATTCAACTTTTTTTTCTTGAAGATTAATTTAAAATGTCTTCCTAGCTATTTTACTGTGCTGAAAAGTGTTGCTCTGATACAACTTGTGCTGCTGGCTCCCGTCTTTGAGCGGCGCCCTGCTGCTGTGTCTCTGGCTGGTGTTAGTGTGAATATCCTGCTCACATAATGCATGCTGAATGAAAGTGAAAGCAGCAGCTGGACATTAGCACTCCTGCGCTGGATGTGTGACACAGAGGATCAGAGCAGATTAACGCTGCAGGAAATCCACTTTCTCAGAGTTTAGGGTTTTTGGAGGCGAGTACGTCAGGTCACGACTTCCTGCAGTACTCTCGGATGGAAGTTACACTTTGATCCAGACAGAAATATCTCACAACTTTGGGATGTGATGAAGTGTTTTTACATTCAAGCAGCAACATCCAGGTCTGAAGCAAAAGTGCCTTAAACCCGTTATTCTCTCTAAATCTGATTGAATAGAAGTCTATGAGAAAAGGCCCCTTATTGTCACTTGATTTATTAGCTCAGATTGTGTCTATGAGAAGTAAGCCGATACTTCTCTCGATGTATCGCCTCAGTAATCTAATAATAAATCTTCTTCAATACAGCTTGATGGCCATAAAGTACATAATGGTCTCTTTCAGATTCAAAGTGTTTGCATGTGGGAGCTACCTCTGATTGACTGATTGCTACCACGCTGTCCCACAACTTTAACACTTTCACACTTTATTTATTCACTTTCAGACCTTTGTTCTATGTCTGTGCGCTGCGGCTAACCGGATAGCTTAGCATCCTTTGTTAGCTGTTAGGTGCCGTGGTTTGTGTGTGTCTCTCCCCCTCTCCCCCTGATTGTCTCCAGGTGCAGCCTCTCCCTCAGGTGCTCCCAATCCCCAATCAGGGCCTCCATAAAGGACCTGAGAAAGGCTGCAGTCACTCTCTCCTTCTCCTCTGGCTGCATGTGTGCAGCATGGTGTCTGTGTCTGTGTCTCTGTGTGAGGCCTAGTTTAATGTGTGTGCTGTTCATTGTTAGGAGACTTGTACCTTTGTACCTTGTTTAATTGAGTTACTTTCTGTTAGAAGAAAGTTGTTCTAGTTTATCTTAGTTTGGTGAACTAGCGTACCATGGTCGAATGCAGTTATTGTAAGTCGCTTTGGATAAAAGCGTCAACTAAATGTAATGTAATGTTTACTTTGTAAGTTGGCTGGTGAGCCCTTTTTCTTTGATTAATTAAAAGACCATCTTGTGGCTTCACAAACCGGTTTCCTCTCCTTTTTTCTTTTGCCCGGTTGTTTTCTATTTTGTTACTTCCCTTTGGTTCCCCTAGTCCAGTAGGGAACGTAACAATGATATTGACATGGAGCCTTGCCTACTGTACATGTATGAAGATGAATTGTGCACAACCAAAGCGTAGTGTCTGAACAGGGCCTATATTAACAGCCGGTAAAACAATAAAATACAGAGGATCCTACTTAAACACCCTATATCACTGTA